TGGGCCGCAGCAGCCCACAGTCCACTGGAGCTCCACCTACGGCCCATGCATCCCCTCTCTGCCCCCTTCCCCCACACGCCTTTCACATGCTGGGGCACAGGATCCGTGCACTTCCTGCTCCTCCCCCGTCCTCCCAGCACTTTCAAAGTCATGAGTGAGCTGATTTGCGCTGCTCTCTGCTCCTCTCCCTCCCGCCCAGATCTTGAACAGTCACGAACAGCCGATTCACAGCATTTCAGCACTGGGAGACAGAGGGGGAGGAGCAGGGACAGCGCACGAATCAGGAGCTTCACGGTACTCCAAAAGTGCTGGGAGAGAGGGGGAGGAGTAGGAAGTGCAGGGCCAGTGTGTGAGAAGCCTGTGAGAGAGGGCAGCAGATGGGGGGGCTGCAGGTGGAGCCCCAGTGGGCCACATAAGCCTTGCAGGCTGTCCTCCCCTGTTATAGAGAAAAGCTTGAAAATATGACCTGCATGCATCCTAAACGCAGGAACTAGACAGCAAATAAAAAAGAACCCAAGAGGTATTTAGGGAAAAAATGATTTTTAAGCCAAACTTGTGATTTTTTTGGGAGTTGGCAATTTTTCAACCATAAATGTAGCTGAATCATAAAGGAAAATGAACTCGTGTGTCAAAACCACAGCAACATTCTGGCAAGGAAGAATCCATAATCTCTCCCAATGCTTACTCCATAAAGGTTGAATAGACCAGAGAATAGTGGAGGACTCTAGGTTACATTTAGAACCAGAGATCTCGGGAACATCGAAGGGCATTTAATATTCAGTTTATTAGCTCAGCACTCAGCTCTGGGATGTTTAAATGCAATGCGGTTAAAATGATCAAAAGAAAAAATGCTCATAATGATGCCTAAGAGACTGTGAAATGGTCTCTTTGAGGGAAGTGGCAGAAGCTGCACAGCTTGAATCACTGAAAAATAGATTTCATCCCTTCATGTTCTGTCCAGAGATGCACAGGCTTACCAAGGAGGGATGGACAAAATAGATAAGTAAAGCAGATTTCTTACAATATGTAGCTGGAGTCAGCTTACTTTAAGGCAAGGAGGAATACTGGATGCCAGTGGCGGTGCCCTCTGCATTTGATTTAGCGAGTCTTAACTAGACTCGTTAAATCAAACTCCGGAAGATCAATCAGCAGTGATCTTCCTTTTAGTGTAGACAAGGCCTCACATACCTTGCATCCTATATAGAGCATCACAAGTTAGGCCATTTCTATCAGACACACGTATTGGCTCAGTGGGTGACAAACAATGAGATCTGGTTGGGAATTTTCCATGGGAAAATTTGATTTTACTGATTTTTATTAGTATTAATATGTTTTCCACCAGGACAGGTTGAAACCAAATAGTTTGTTTCAAGTCACTTTGATGCCAGCCCTCTCCTACCTAGGGTGAGTCAGGTTGTAGTTGTAGTTCATGTGCTTCATGCTTTATTCTCTCCTATAGGCAGAGTCCTTGCCTGATCTATACTTCCCATGATACACTGTGATCTCTCACCAAGCGACATGGTGCTTCATGAGAGCTGACTTCGAGCCATAGAGCCCAGCCCATAGGAAGAATAAGGACTTGCAGCATTAGAATAACAATGCCTGAGAAACACTTTGGAACCTCGAAGGGTCCTTGTTTAACAGTGAACCTGAAACAAACAAACAAAAAATCCATTTGGCTGAACAAAACCAAAACAAGCATTTCCAAAATGAAACATTTCAAAAAATTTTGTTCTTAAAAAAAAAAAAATCAATCTTTCAATTTTTCATCCTGGTTTGGGACAAAATAAATAGTCAAAAGTTTGGACTTTCCCGCAGGAACATTTTTTTTTTTTGTTCAGCTCTGTAAATCAATTGAGTGCTAATGAAAGTTACCCGAAGCTATACGTGCAAAAGTCGGGGAGATACTCGTTTGGGGACAATTTATCTTCTGCAGCACAATAAACACTGTTTCAGTGAGGATCTAATGTGTTTCCTCTAAAGGACCTGCAAGTAGATACAGGCAGTCCCCGGGTTACGTACAAGATAGGGACTGGACTGTAGGTTTGTTCTTAAGTTGAATTTGTATGTAAGTTGGAACTGGTACATATTGTAGGGGAAACTCTAGCCAAACATTTCTCCAGAGCTCAGTTTTATTCTCCCACACCTCACTTCCCTCAGTCCTTTATTCTCAAGCTGAGGTGTCTGAGGGGGCCCAGCAGACCAGGAAGACATGGAGCATCTTTTCTCGCCGCGGAGGATGCGGGCGGCCGTACCGCGGCGCATCTCGGCGGTCTGCTGGCGGGGGAGGGCGCAGCTAGTGCGCGGTTGCCTCACCCCGTTTGTAAGTACGGATCCGATGTAAGTCGGATCCATGTAACCCGGGGACTGCCTGTACTTGAATTACATTTTTAAAAAATCAACCAAACTTCCCTCCTCCCCACCTTTGCTTGTATCTGTTCTTTCTGGCTGCCGCTAGAACAGGCTGCAGAAGCGTCATGACAAAGGCTAGTTCTAACACACTCAAAACGGGCTATAGTGAAAATTATATGGTGAAACATGTCTCCTGGCAGAGAGTTTAACCCAGTTTCTCCAATTAAAGTAGTCTGGATAATCTTCAGATTGTCCATTTTGGATGCTACAAAACAGTCCTGAACTTCCACAGTTGAGCCATGACTGTTAGGAACAGATGTGTGTAGTTTTGTGTTTGGGTGTGTCTACACTGTACTGTTTTCCCCAAATAATGGCCATTATTCCAGAAAAAACAATACTACCATCCTCACAACAATTGCGTTATTTCGAAAGAAAATCGAAATAACGGAGGGCTTTTTCCAGTGTTGGTAAACTTCATTCCACGAGGAATAATGGCTCGTCCAAAAAAGCTTTTTCGGAAGAGGGTGTGTGTGGACGCTCCACTGCTGCTTTGTCGAAGTAGCTCCTCACCAGGGCCATTGTAAAGTTATTCCTCCCCAGTGCTTTGTGGGGCTCTAAATCGAGGTAGCACGTCCACATTAGAGGAGCCTGCCTCGGACTAATTTTGAGGTTTCCCTGTAGTGTGGACGCTCTATTTTGAAATAAGCTTTTCTGGAAGATGTCTTCCGGAATAGTTTTTTCCGAAATAAGCTTGCAGTGACCTTTGTGTAGTGTTATTTCTAGCACTTTCGCTGTTAAACATCTGACACGTCCCTTTCTGTTTCTCTCTTGTTCCCCCTTCTTTTCATCTCAAAAAGTGCATTTTCCTACAGTAGGAAAAGCTAGGCAAAACTCAGTTTCCCAAAACATGGAAACACCAGGGAATAGGAAAATAAAAGTGCCAGAGAAAATTCAAGCCAGAGTAATAGTTTTCAAACTACGGGGCACAGCCCAATACTGAGTGGTGGAATGTGGGGCGCTGGGTCTCGTTGCTGCAGGGAGATCAGGTGAGCAGTGGAGATGCACGTTTCCTGTCTGTCCTGGCACCACAGACGGTGCTGTGCCGTAGAAGCAGCTAGCAGTAGGCCTGGCTCCCAGGTGGGGTGGAGGAGAGTTCACAGGGTTCCATGCATTACCCTTTCCCTGAGCAATAGCTCTGTACTCCCATTGGCTGGGAACCTGTTGCCAGCTGCTTCTGGGTCGCAGCCTGGTCTGTGGTGCCAGAAGAGACAGGAAGCTGCCTCGGAACCCCCACTGCACCGCTGACCGGGAGCCGGTCAAGGTCAGCACCCCCTGCCCTACGCCTGACACTCCCACTCCCCAAACCAAAGCTTCCTCCTACAACAGACCAAAGGTCTCATCCTTAACCCTAAACCGGAGCCCCCACACTAGTCAAATTATGTTGGGTTACAGCATCAACATTCTTCTTCAGCTGGGTCATAAGAAAAAAAGTTGGAAAACCCCTGCTCTAGAATTATTGAAAAAAAATTAAAATGTGTCGTTTCTGTAACAAGGAACAATGGAAGGTCTGAACTAAACGCCACAGTCCTTCTTAAGCAACATTTCCACCAGTGTTAATGGAAGCTTTGTCTGAGTAAGGATTGCAAACGTAGACTTTGCCAACAGGCTTTGCAAGAGTCATGGTGTGAGAGGCAAACTTTTGTCCTGGATCACAGACTGACCAAGAGCCAGAAAAGAGAGAGTAGGAATTCACGATGGGTTTGGAGCATGACAGTCATTTAGGCCTGATCTACACTAGATTGGGAAGATTAGCTTAAGGTATGTAACTCCAGCTATGCAAAATAGAGTTGCATAGCTGGAATTGGCTTATCTTAAGCTGAGCCTTGGCTTGGTCTATATTGCGTGAGGCCAACCAGAGCAAACGCCTTACTCCTCACAAAAGGAGGAGTATGTGATGCTGGTGGAAGTGGCCTTCAGCATTCCATTTAGTGGTCTATACTAGACCTGTTAAATCAAATGCCAGAAGATCAACCTCTGGAGCATCAATCTTCCGGTAAGCATAGATGAATCCTAACTTCAGTGATCAACTTTTAACAGGTGCTTAAGGACTTGGCTAAATTGGAACCTTAGGCGTTAGAAAGGTAAATGTTTACACCTTAGAAAAGTTTCTACTGTGTTTAAAAAAGAAAAAGGGGCAGTGGTGTACTCGGTAACAAGCTATCGTGGGCACCTTTTCTGTATGGAGTCCCTTTGGGAGCAGATCGTGCATGCTAAGGAACACTGAAGATGTTCTGCAATGATTTGGAAGGCTGCTATGTACCCTGGCATGTATCAAATCTACTAATAAAGTCCAAGAATGTCTTGACTCTAAAACATGAACAGATTTACAACAAGGGGAGAAAAATAAGTGAACATATGTTGGCATTTAAAACAAATTGTGGAAGTGCAAAGAGTTTATGTTTCAATCCACATCACTGCCAGGGCCTGAAATAGGTCATGGAGAGAAGAGCTTCTGCCTTAGACATTCCCAAGAGGAAGAATTCCAAACTGAAGGCCAAGTTTTACAGTGATGTACCCCCTATTGAAAGCCATTGATTTCAATTGCATAGTCCATGTAAAGAAACACACAAGGGTATTTGCTTCCTTACCTGCTCCAAAAGCGAAGAAGAAACTCCTGTCGGTGTTCTCTTTTAAAAGGGTCATCACTCTTTTCCCCATCCTCTCGTTTCTCTTGTAAATGAGCTCCTGTCTGAAGTAGCTGTCTATCTCCTGAGCTGTCACTTGCTCATGTGGAGGGAGTGTTGTGTTGATGAAATTGGGGAGCTGCAATGGAAAGAAATTCTGCAGGTCAGATATAGAGAGAGATAGAGAGAAACATATGCTGAAGGAAGCAGGCTTGGGGCAGGAGAACATGAATAAAGAATTGGGCTCATTCTGCTAAGCATCCAAAATTTTAACCCAAGCTTACTTAAGCTGCCCAAACTTCTTTGCACTGCTCACAAGGGGGTGCATCTACACTGCAGGACTTAACTTGAAATAAGCTATGCAAATTGAGCTACGTCAATTGCATAACTTATTTCAAAATAGCTTATTTTGAAATAGGGAGTGTCTACACGGCACTTATTTCGAAATAGAGCACTCTTCCTCCGACTTCCCTTACTCCTCGTACAATGAGGGTTACAGGAGTCAGAGTAAGAAGTCCTCCAGCTTGACAGTATTTTGTCTCTATTTCAAAATAATGGCCTGCTGTGTAGACGTAGACTACGTTATTTCGGAATAGCACTAGTTATTTCGAGATAGTGTTGCAGTGTAGACATATCCAAGGTGTGCAAACCTTGTGAGATTGCAGGAAACTCCACAATAATTTTTTTAATACTGGAATTTTGACTGATCTGTGAGGTGCAGAGAGAGAGAGAGAGCATGAAACTGAAAACTAAAGAACAGGGCCAAAAAAATTAACAGAACGTCTCTGGATTTCAAAACGAGACTCGTTTCATGTTGGGTTTGAGAAATTATCCAGGGATGTTAAAGGCGGCGGGGGGGAGAAGCTTCTGGTTATAAGAGCGAAAGGCACATCCACTTCGAATCCCAAGGAAAGAGGAAAGCCAATCACAGATTCCTATCCCTGGGACGATGTTTGAGTAAATCATAGCCATTCCACACTTGGCACTCTGCACAGTATCTGCTGTAAAGGAAAGCCCAAAATCAATTGGTTCTACATAAATTCTACAAGCCTTTGTATTTCCTTGTACATCAAGGGTCCATATTTAATGAGCATCAGGACGCTGGACCATAGCCAGCAGTGCAGGAGCTTTTAGACACTGAATTGGACAATGAAATTATATCTCAGCAGGTCTAAGGATGTCTGGAGGCCCAGCACCTAGGAGTGGAAAAATCTTCTCCATTCACTTCCCAAAGGAAATGAAGGCTCTATAGAAGCAGACAGAGCCTTATTCTGCAATGAGGTAGGATACCTCTAGATCAGTGGCCCTTGCAAAATATGCATATAGGACCAGCGATGTAGGATGGTGGACCACCCTCACCACACCACCAAGCAAGGCTAGCTTTGTTGCTGGAGCTCACCTTCTCCACCAGTCCAGAAAACACAGGGATGGAAATTATATGAAGCTCTGGGTCAAAAAGAAAGTTATCTGCACCATATTCCCACCCCATCTGCATAGAGCCAGCTACAACCCAGTCTACTAGAATCAAGACACATTGCCTTGTTAATTGCATTTAATTGTTTTGCTCCTGGCTTGTCCTTCTCCTATCCTTTGCTCACTGAGATGCCTGCTCTGCATAACAATAAACCGATCAACCGCTGTACGCCAAAGGGACACTGATTTTTCTCCTCCTGAGCAGGAAAGCATTTGTGGAAGCCAGAGCAGTCCTTTCGGATCTGGCATTGGATTTCCAGAATCCATTTCCATTCTCCTCCCAAAGAACACTAGGAAGGGACATATTTAAGAGTCAACAATGGCAACACCATGCCGGGTCTTTAAGCACCTTGTAAATTAGTCTAATGGCCACCACATTTCGCATAACTGCCCCCTTGCTTGGGAAAGGGAGGGGGGTAGCAGGAGGAGAGAAGATAAACGATTGAAGCGTGCATAGCGCTATACAGCAGTGCAAGCACTCGCCGAACCTCAACGGCTACTCCATTAATCATCTCCACTTCTTCCAATAGCTCAGTTCCTTTCTACAGTTTGTGACATACACCATGCCTGGCTCGAAGGAGGCAGCTGCTTCTGCTGATTTATGAAGGCTTTTTGCCTGCTTAACCACCAGACAGGGATCAGAAACTCAAGAAACAGTTGCATGCAATTAGCAAGCTGTTAACCGTCGCTGGGAGTTAATTTTTTTTCAGATTGTTATTGTAAAAGTGCAACCTCAAGAATTCAGCAGGGGGATTTGATGCCCTCCTGTTAAGTGTTCCCTGGAAGGCCTGATGTTTTCATTCTCCTTTCCCCCTCCATGAAAGACGTTCTTTAAAAATTTTGAGATGAATTATATACATCACCACCTAGTGGAGCATGTTTAATATGTCGCCACCCCCTCTACTGGCTGAGTTGCTAAAAGGAAACAACCTACTAGTGCTACTAACTAAGCAAGACGTGTTGGTAGCTTTATATAGCAGTGACTGCTGATAAAAGTCTCGGGTTAGAACCCTACTATTAATCTACTCAAGAAGCATTTAGATATTCAGGGAACTCACTGGCAAGCATCATGTGGAGAGAACGCTCTCTGCAGGAGCGGAGTGGAAAGTGAATATGAAGCCTCTTTGCTAAGCATTCAGCCTCCTTGCAGTCCTGCTGATTTGGGGTGGGCATCAGAATTTGGTACAACCGAAGAGCAGCATGTGATAATTTTAGAACCTTTGACCACGGCGGTTTTTGTAGCCAGCTGAATACAAAGTTGGTACTGAAGGGGAACAAAACCCTCTTCTTCTAGAGTCAGAATGTCCACTCATGTAGGGCTTGTCTACACTATGGAGAAGATCGACCCCTCCGGAGGTTGATCTTCTAGCATTCAAATTAGTGGGTCTAATGAAGACCGGCTTATTCAAACTGAGAGGGCAGCCCGTTGGCAGTGATAGTCCTGCTCGTCATAAGGATTAAGGGAAGTTGACGGGAGCATTTGCTCCCATTGATCTCCTGCTGTATGGATGGCTCAAAAACACGATTTAAGATATATCGACTGCAGCTACGTTAAGTACATAGCCAGAGTTGCGTATCATAATTCAACTTTCCCCTTTAGTGTAGTCCAGGCTGTAATTTTTCATGAATATTTATTTCAGTCTAATTCACACCCTACTTTATTCCAGATTAATTTTTGCGGGTAGACAAGCCCTAAACTAGATATATAATTCTACCCAGATGAACACTCCCAGTCAGGAGGCCCACAGATAAAGTTACTCATGTACGTAAGAATTTGGTTCTAGGGTTCTGTTGACAGGAACCTGCAACACGGAAGTCAGTGGGAAGTTTAGGAAAGAAAGAGGAAGAACGTTCCAAAGGCTAGGACACTAATCTGAGATCCAGGCCACATTTACACTTACAATTTTACAGTGGCACAGTTACTCTGATCCAGTTATGCTGCTGTAAGACCACTGATGTTGTCATGTTATGCTGGCCAGAGACCATCTCCTACTGACATAGTGCTGTGCACAAGCGCTTATGCTGACAAAACTTAAGTCACTCAGGGTATGTTTTTTTCACACATCTGAGCGACAAAAGTTTTGCCAACATAAGTGGAAATAACACACTATTTTGAGACACCCCTTATCCCTCCTGGAACAAGGTTTACAGGGATGCCAAGACAGCGGGTCTGCTATATTTCACAATAGCGGACTCATTCAAAAGATGCGAGGTAGCTATTATAAAAGGTGCAGTGCAGACATAGACCTGTCCTTAGATGACCTATGCTTAAGTCCCTGATCATCGTAGATTTCCTGTGTGATTTTCGACAAGACACTTAGGGTACGTCTGCACTGCACCTTTTATAATAGCTATCTTGCATCTTTTGAATGAGTCCACTATTGTGAAATATAGGGGACCCGCTGTCTTGGCATCCCTGTAAACCTTGTTCCAGGAGGAATAAGGGATGTCTCGAAATAGTGTGTTATTTTCAATTTTGGCGCTGTGTAGACGCACCAAATTTCAAAATACAGCCAGTACCTGAGTTGCGAATGGTCGAGTTACAACCGCTTGCATTTACAACCGAAGCAGTCCCCGAGTTACAAACGCGATTCACGCTTATGAGCAGCACGGTCACCATGTAACTCAATGGGGTCCGAGTTATGGACACTTCAAATTATGGCCCAGTGTTTGGTCTGTAACTCGTTCGTAATTCAGTGAGAGGCTGTAGCCTATTCCGAAATAGAATTGAAATAAGATACGCAATTTGCGTAGAAAAAATTGCGTATCTTGTTTCGCGCTAAGGTTGCAGTGTAGATGCACCCTTAGTCTCCCTGTGCCACAGTTACCCATCTGTACAATGGGAACAATAGAACTGTAGCATTCTGCCACAAATTCTAGACATAACTCAGATGTAAGGAAGTAGAAAGAGGTCCAGGTTAAAGAAGTTCCCCAGATTATAGGTCTGAATGACTGTAAATGTTATCTGAAGATGGTTCTATGACAGCTGCCTGCATGAAGAGCTGTAAAACGCCACAACTTAGTAAAGCATGTCATGTTGATCTCCACAACACCACCGTGCAATCCTGCTGAGAGAAAACATCCTACAGGAAGCAAAACACAGAGAGGGGTAACGGTCTAGCTCTTGACATAACACAATGGAGCTGTTCTAAGCCCCGAAATACCTTTTTTCCCAGGGGCATTTTTTTAAATGGTTAGAGAAGTTTTAGACTCACCCAAAGAATCAGTGATTGACCAAATCTGCCTGAAAACAATTCTCTCGGACACGTGTAAGTGCAGACATTTCAAGTCAAATTTGTGGGTGAATCAAACAAAGCAGAACCACTCTATACTTATAGGCCTTTTACAATCCCAGTTAGTTTTCCCCCCTGCCACAACAGAAATGACTGTTTCTGATCTCCCTTATCCCTGAATAACACCCTTATTGACTGCCCTTTCATGACTGACACCATTGTGAAATCAAGATGAGGTCCAGCAGACACCAGAATGGTGCAATTTTCACTATTTATGACAAGCTACAGATAGCTCTGTTTCCCAAAACACTTACATCCTATTTGGCCCGTGCTCTAGTTACTCAATATGGACTAGCTCCATTCAGGACCATAGCCTTGCACCAGTAAGAATGAAACCAGAGTCAGGTCTTTTTAAAGTCATAGATGACTTCAG